AAAAAAAAAAAAAAAGGATGATGGGCACACAGATATTCATGGAATCATGATCCTTTATAACTTGCATATATTTTATAAATCTTTTGTATCTACTTACTAGCTAGCTTTTTAAAAAGACAAGATAGCAGGAAATGACCCACGAATATACTCCAGGACTATACCCCAAACTGGCAACTGGTGGCTGTGAATACAGGGACTTTCTTATTTGAAGTAAAACTCAGGCCGGGGCCGGGCGCGGTGGCTCACGCCTGTAATCCCTGTAATCCCAGCACTTTGGGAGGCTGAGGTGGGCAGATCACCTGAGGTCAGGAGTTCGAGACCAGCCTGGCCAACATGGCGAAACCCTGTCGCTACTAAAAATGGAAAAATTAGCAGGGCTTAGTGGTGCGCACCTATAATCCCAGCTACTCGGGTGCCTGAGACAGGAGAATTTCTTGAACATGCTCGAGGCAGAACCCAGGCTGCAGTGCAATGGCACAATCTGGGCTCCCTGCAACCTCCACTTCTAGCTGGGATTATCATACCTGAACTCCATATCTCACCTTCCTGAGCTCAGGTGATCCACCTGTTTCAGCCTCCCCAAATGCTGGGATTACAGGTGTGAGCCACCACACCCGGCCTGAGTCACCATGCCTGGCCGAGACTCTTTCTAAAAATATATCCTGTCTCTAAACACAATCACATTCTGAGTCTTGGGGGTTGGGATAAAAAAGAGTGTGAAACGAATGTGCTATTGTGGTGCTAGTGTGCCAAGAAGTGCTTTGTAATCTGATGGCAATTCAGAGCTGGAACTGACTTTGGTGCTGGTGCCAGAGATGGGATTAGAGTTGAAATAATGAAAAGGACAATTTCACCGGGCGTGGTGGCTCCCGCCTGTAATCCCAGCACTTTGGGAGGCCAAGGCGGGCGGATCACGAGGTCCGGAGATCAAGACCATCCTGGCTAAGACGCTGAAATTCCGTCTTTACTAAAAATACAAAAAACTAGCCGGGCGTGGTGGCGGGCGCCTGTAATCCCAGCTACTTGGGAGGCTGAGGCAGGAGAATGGCATGAACCTGGGAAGCGGAGCTTGCAGTGAGCCGAGATCAGGCCACTGCACTCCAGTCCGGGTGACAGAGTGAGACTCCATCTCAAAAACAAAAAGAAAAAAAAAAAAGAAAGAAAGGAAAGGACAGTTTCTCCAACAACTTGTGAAAGAAGAAAATGTAGAATGAGAAATGTTGGGCTAGGACTGAGGGTCCCTCCCCTCTTTGGCCCTCCCCTCTTAGTCCTTAGGTCAAGGTGTAAGTATTGCAATCTGGCCACAGGCAGAGGAAAAAGAAACACAGAAGTAACAAATGATATGTCAGAAGACAGTGGGGAAAGCAGGAGCGATGTGTCAGGGAGCCAGGGAAAGGGACAGTCAACTGTGGCAGCTGCCCCAAGTGGCCAAGGAGGATTAAGAATGATAAAAGGCACCCATGCGTGATTCAAACAGCTCTTATCTGTTGAGGATGATACATACTGGTTCATGTGCTTTTCACAGGGTGAGCAAAAAGGATTTTGATCTTGACTAAGAGCAATGAAAAGCTACTAAAATAGTTTAAGCAGGGGTGAGTGGGTGAAGCGCAGTGACACGGCAGGTTTTAGAGGGTGGTGATGATTGCATTTGGTGATGAGCTTGTGATACTGGAGATAAAAATTTCAGTAGAGTTGGAGGAAAGGAAGGGCAAAGAGGCAGGAAGTGTGACATTTGGAAGAGAATGTAAGGAAATGGTGGGAGGCAGGAAGGTTCTGAGGTATAAAAGAATGAATTTGGAGACCCAACTACCCAAACCCTGGCTCTGGAATACTTATTTACTCTTTCTGTATCTCAGTTTCCTATCTTTAAAATGGGGGTAACAATATTCACCTTGCACGATGTGTGTGTGCACGCACGCATATTGAACGAGTTAATAAACATAAGAAACTTAGAACAGTGCCTGGCACATGATAATCCCTCAAGAAATGTTAGATATTACTATCGTGTTCTAGGAGTTTGGCACAAACAGAAGAGGAATGAGGTGGAATTTTTTGAGGACAATCAAATCAAAGCATGTTGTTGTTAGGTTGAGCCCTCTCTCTGGTGCTGGCAGGTGGTAAGGTGGACCAGATGGCCCTGCTGATGCTCTTTGTCTATGACCACATACCTTTGGTGGCTCTGTGGTCATCTTGATGCTGGCCTGCAAGATTGAGATAGGGAAGTCTGGGTGGGGGCTGGAGCTGAGCCAGAGGCGGAAGGATGGATGAGGGTCCTCCACCTGCAGCTGCTCCACCAGCTTGTCCAGATTAGGCATCCAAGACAGTGACAGGTGGCAGTTTGCCAGGAACACCCAATGTCCTGCAAGGAGATGCCAGGCTCAGTGGGAATCATTTCCTAAGCCCTGCCTGTCCTCATGCTTTCCACCTGGTATTGGGGCGGGGGTGCTAGCGGGGCCGAACACTCAGATCTGCCACTTCTGGGACCCTCTGTAGAAGTGGGAGGTACAGGGACAGTAGTGTATTTGAGGTTGGCAGTTCTAAGGACAAGGACTGGGCTGAAGATGGGGGTGAAAGAAAGGATGGACACCAACCCTGAGTAACACCCTCTCGGAGGAGTCGGGCAGCGATAGGGGCCTGGCCCTGGCCCAGGGACAGGGCGTGGAAGCGCTGGGCCATGCCTGTGTGCTCTGCCAGCTGGAGCAGGGCACTGGTGGGGTCCACACCAGGGGACAGGATGAACACGAGTGGGGATCGTGGGGTTGAATCCTCCATCACCTGCCAGAAGCACAGGTATAGCATCAGGCAGAAGGCCACGTGACCGAAGTGGAAGAGAGAGATGCAGGAGACTGAAACAGAGCTAGGAAGGCAGGAAAGACCCAGGGGCCGTGGAGACAAGGAAGCTGAGCCACCGACCAACTTCATATTCAGCACAGGCGGCTCGATGAAGCGGGAACCAAGGTTGGTGACGATGAAGGAGGTCACGCAGAAGGCCACGCGGTCCTGGCGCAGGGAGCGGACGATCAGCATCCGTTGCATTTCATTGCAGGCATTTTCCCACTCACCTGGGGACGAGGTGAGTCATTGCAGGGAGAGGGAGTGAGTCTGGAAGAGCGGGGAATCCAGACAACAGGGCACCTGCCAGGAATGTGCTCCGGGCCAGGAGGCCGGCACCAGCTGGGAGAGGGGATGGGGGACAACAGGAAGGGCAGGCATGTGGCTGAGTGGAGGGAAGCAGAAAGTGAGAGTGGGGTACAGATGCCTGGTACCTGGCAGCATTGCCTTCTCCGGGGCAGCATTGGTATACCACAGGTGCCAGTCACGAGGGTACTGCTCAAAGGAGTTCATGAGTCCGTGGAAGTTGGTCAGTTTGTCCAGCTCCGTGATGTTATCCCAGTAGGCGTCTGCAAGCCAGCTAGTACATGGGTTGTCCATTTGGCCCTCCCGATCCAGGACCTGGTGGGAGTGGGGGAAAAAGAAAGGGATTGACTTGGGAATACTTCAAAAGAAGAGTGATCTTTTTCTCCTTTCTGTCTCTCTCTCTCTCTCTCTCTCTCTCGGTGGGAAAGCCAAAATGGAGGGTTTTTTGTTTTGTTTTGTTTTTCTTTTTTTCTTTTTTTTTGAGATGGAGTATCATTCTTATCACCTAGGCCAGAGTGCAATGGTGCAATCTCAGCTCACTGCAACCTCTGACCCCCAGGTTCAAGCTATTCTCCTGCCTCAGGCTCCGGAATAGCTGAGATTACAGGTGCACACCACCACACCCAGCTAATTATTGTATTTTTAGTACAGATGGGGTTTCACCGTATTGACCAGGCTGGTCTTGAACTCCTGATCTCAGGTGACCCACCCTCCTCGGCCTCCCAAAGTGCTGGGGTTACAGGTGTGAGCCACCGCGCCCGGCCCAAAATGGGTTTTATATGAGAGTGAAGAGATGAATACAGGGATCCTGGGGAATAAACGTGGGGGTCTAGGACTCAGACCCTGCCCTTAGCCCTCACGGTTCAAATTTAGGAAGCTGGCGCCCTCTGCTGGTTGCCTGGTAATAATGTCTCCAACCTAATGACTTCTTGGTAGCCTGGCCTTCATAGAAGCACAAACTGTTTACTCATTCATTTGCTCACTCGCTTATTCATTCTTCTTAACAAACATTTATTGTTCACCAACTATGCATTTTAATCATTGGGACGCATTACTGAGCAAAATGGAAAATATGTCTGCCCTTGGGGATTTTGTTTTCTAACATGGGATTGTGAACCCATGGGCAGACTATGAACCAAAAACGTAACAAATAAGTAAATTATCTAGTATAGCAACGATGGCAGTGCGATGGAAAAATAGGATACTCTGAGGAGGGTAAGGGAGACTGGTTGTGTTGAGGGGAGTTTGAAGTATAAATAAGAAGATCTAGGTCGCACTGAGGTGAGGTTTGAAGGAGATGAGAGACAGCCAGGTGCACACGCCGGGGAGTAGGCTTCCAGCAGAAGGCACAGCCATGCGAAGGCCCCGAGGTGAGACGTGCCGGGGAGTTGGGGAGGGCAATGAGGCCTGCGTGGCTGGAGTGGAGTGGGGGCTGTGTGGTGGGAGGTGGCGCCTGCCATTGGGAGCCCGTCACAATGGCATCCACTTTAAAAGGACCTCTCAGGCCGGGCAAAGTGGTTCACACCTATAATCCCAGCACTTTGGGAGGCTGAGGTGGGAGGATCACTTGAGCCCAGGAGTTCAAGATCAGCCTACGCAACATGGTGGGACGCCGCCTCTACAAAAACTACAAAAATTAGCCAGGCGTGGTGGCACAGGCCTGTGGTCCCAGCTATTCCAGAGGCTAAGGTGGGAGGATGGCTTGAGCCCGGGAGGTCGAGGCTGCAGTGAGCCAAGATCACTGCCCCTGCAGTCCAGCCTGAGTGACAGAGCGTGACCTCTCTGGTTGCTGTGTTGAGAGTTTGGCGTGAGAGGCGGGAAGTGAAGGTGGGAAAAGTAAAGAAAATGTTGTCTAGGAGGGCGGGAGAGTGCAGTATGGTTGTCCAGAAGCCTTAAGGGCCTCCTTGGGGTTCATGATCATGGACTTAAAGCGTGTTCGGTCACTGTGGATGTGTTCTTCCCCGGCCATGTTCAGTGCACGGGCCACATAGGGACAGAGGAGCAGAGGAGCTGGAGCTAGCCAGAGTGATAGACGCAACAGAGAGAGGAGGAAAACGGGGGTTGAGGAACCTGTGAGGGAGAGATTGTGAGGGCGACCATGGAACTCAGGCTAGGGAAGGAGTGTCTTGAAAGGCAGTAAAAAAGTGGTAAAATCAGGCCAATCTGTGGGTCACAGGTGAGACATGCCACAAAGCCCAGTCTGTGCTGAGTGCAAAGGGGCGCACAGCAAGTCACCTCCGCAGCCCCAGGGAGCTCACCATGCACCTGATGCTGGCCTGGATGTTCTCAGCTCACTCACTGATGCCGTGGGCCTGACCCTCTGGGTCTGGAGTCCTTGACACACTTGACCTTGACCATCCCCAGCCTTGACCATCCCATCCTGGGATGTGCTCTCTGCCCAACTCACCACACCCCCACGTAGAAAGAAGTTGTATTCATCCATGTTGAGCTTGCCAGAAGTCTCCAATATTTTGGCACACATATGAAAACTGAATAGTAGTTTGTGGCGTTCAAAAAGGGTACGGCAGGTGTACCTGGGAGAAAGGCAGGGAGGAGGGAGGGACAGGATGGAATGGGGGCTGATGCTCCACACGAATGCTATGATCCTACTATCACACAGCCTCACACAGAGGACCTCACCAGCCTCTAATCCTAACCTCCTGGAAACAGCCAAGGACTCAGGGGCCTAGAGATAATAATTTCCCAGAGTTCACTTATTATTATTATTATTATTATTATTACTTTTTGAGACTGAGTTTCGCTCTTGTCGCCCAGGCTGGAGTGCAATGGCACGATCTTGGCTCACTGCAACCTCCGCCTCCCAGGTTCAAGCAATTCTCCTGCCTCAGCCTCCCGAGTAGCTGGGATTACAGGTGTCCATCACCACGCCTGGCTAATTTTTGTATTTTTAGTAGAGACAGGGTTTCACCAGGTTGGCCAGGCTGGTCTTGAACTCCTGACCTCAGGTGAGCCGCCCACCTCAGCCTCCCAAAGTGCTGGGATTACAGGAGCGAGCCAACGTGCCCAGCCATTCACTTATAATTAGTCATTCAGTTCCATTAAAAAAACAAACATTCATTTTTCCCCCACTATCTTGCCAGGCACTCTGCTAGGTCCTGAAGACACAAAGAAGAATAAGCCGCAGTCTCGGAGAGGACAGAGAGGCTATTGGTTATGATGTCGCTGCCTGCTGGACTCAGGGAAAGTTTCCGAGAGGAGCTGCTCCAGAGAGGAGCTGCAGCAGAGTTTTCTGGTGGCATGGGAGAGGCAGAGAGGTCACAGCATCAGCAAAAGCATGAGATGGGCACAGCATGCAGGGCAGTCAGGGATGCTCAGGCACCCAGTGCAAGGTGGGAAAGGTGAGGCTGAGGCAGGAGAAGGCCAGGTCATGAGGGCTTTCGTGGGCCACTGGGATCAAGCAACCAACCACTGGCAGTCAGACCCGGGAAGCAGCATGGTCGGATTTGCTCAGGTGGGCAATGCAGGAGGGTAGGTTGAGAGGGACAGTGGGTAGAGGCAGGAGGACCTCTAGGAGACCATTGTGCAACTCAGAAAAAAGGATCACCAGGGCCAGAGCTAAAGTACAGCCAAGCAGTGGGAAGATGGGGAGGGAACAGTTTGCAGAAATATTCATGAACAAAACCCGGTGAGTGCTTTGAAAGGGAAGAGTCAAGGATAGCTCCCAGTTTTTGCCAGGCATGGTGGCTCACGCCTGTAATCCCAACACTGTGGGAGACCATGGCAGGAGGATCCCTTGAGCTCAGGAGTTGGAGACAAGCCAGGGCAACATAGGGAGACCCTGTCTGTACAAATAAAAATTATAAAAAATAAAGGATAACTCCCCATTTCTGGCTAGGTCGTGGGCGACTGGGTCGTGGGCGTTGGTGCCATCCAAGGATGAGGAACCTGAAGAGGGAAGAGAATGAGTTGGATCTGAAGCGAGTTGAGCTTGAAGGGTCTGTGGGATGTCAGGGTAGAGAAGTCCAGTTCCTTGCTACTCAAATGTGATCCACAGACCAGGAGCAGTGGCAGCCCCTGGGAGCTTGTTAGAGTTGCAGAACCCCAGGCCCCACCCCAGACCTGCCAAATCCTAACCAGTATTTTCACAAGATTGCCAGTGTGCTACCTGCCCGTTAACGTTTGGACAGTGCTGGTATCGCCAACAGTTGTGTAGACAAGTCCAGTGCTCAAGGGAGGGCTACAGACAGAAGATGGGGAATCGTCAGCCCACAGGTGATGGTTAAGCCATGAGAGCCAGGAGCTACCGGGAGGACATGTGCCGAGGGACAGCAGCAGGCTGAGAGCCGCAGCGTGGGAAAGCATGAAGGCGCAGTGGCCAGAAGAACCACGGCCACTCGGCCTCCGGGCTGGGGCATATTGGGGGCACCCTCAGACCTGTAGACAGCGTAGGTGTGGTAGTCGTTCAGATAGTCAATGCGGTCCTCCAGCTTATTGCTGCGGTGGCTCTTGTCGATGCTGAGGATGAAGAGGCTGATGTAGGCATCCAGTGAGAACTGGTACATGGGGTCGATGCAGCCCATATCATTGAGCACGAAGAACAGGATTGATGCCCGCTGGGCACACGGGCGGTAAGCCTGCCAGCGGGGGAGTGGAATCAGGGCCACCGAGGGACATGGCAGGGAGCAGGGGCTCAGGGAAGGAGGGGTCTCGAGCCGTCATGATGGAGTTGCATCTTGGATGGCTGGCGGGAGGCAGGGCTGGAGGGCCAGGAGCTTACCTCCCGGGCCAAGTCAATGTTGATCTCTGTGGTCTCACTGGTCTCCAGCTGCTCAGTCACCTCTGTGGCCGTGATCTTGGAGGTCTGCAGCGTGTTCACCAGCTGCACGTCATCCAGCAGGGAGCCGGTGGCCTCATTCAGCAGCCTAGGGGGAGGCCCAGAGGCACACGGAGCAAGGGGTTAGGGGGACCAGTCTCCCTGGGATGCTGTCGTGCCGGGGGTAGACTGGGTAGAGGCTGGCTGGGAGTAGACCTGTGGGGCGGTGGGAGGGGGAGGCAGGGCCTCACCGCAGGATCTCATCCTCCAGCTCCTTGAGCTTCCTCTTGCCAGCCGCGATGTTGATGACCAGCGAGTCCTTCTGCTCCTCCAGCTCAGGCCGCTCCTTCCTCACCACGATGCCCAGCAGCTGGGCCTCCAGGCCCTGGGGCATCAGCACTCACAGTGAGGGGCTCTCACCCCTTTGACCTTCACCTTCCTCATCCCTTTCCACCTCGAAAGACCCATCATCCTCAGCTGCCCAACACAAGCTTATCCCTTTTCTCAATCCTTCCCAATTCTTCCTGCTTCACCCTAGCTCAGTCTGGACCTCAGCCTGCACCCACCTGTTCTTTAACAGCAAAGTTAACGATGGTGGTCTTGGCTGAGGTCTCTGGGCTGTAGTGGGGGTTGGAGAGCTTGGTGGTGATGTAGAAACGGAAACTGGTATTGTATTCCACCTCCTTATCGCCAATGCGCATCAACAGCCGACCACCTGCATCCACAGAAGGGTCAGGGGCAAGGACTCCATGTGACAGGTACCGGCTAACCCGTCCCCCACCGGCATCCAGGGGCAGTGACTCGGCCTGTCCTAAGGCCCCAGCCCAGGGCTGTCTGAACACAGGGACAGGTAAGAACAGGACACAGTCAGAGAGCCAGTCCTTCCCTCCCTGGCATCCCACTCGGCTGGTCTTGGGGACTTGTCCTGACCGATTCGGGCTACAGATTTGTTGAGCACGGGGTTGAGTGTGGGGTCCAGATATTCCTGCACATTCTGAAGTAGCACAGGGTATCCATACTGAATGGCGTTTTCTAGGATTCGCAGGTAATCGCTCATCTGCAGGTCAATGATCTTCAGGCCCTAGAGAGCAAGGGGGAAGGTGAAGGAACACTGCGGGAGAGGTGGGGCCTCAGGAAGAGGGGGACTAATCCGGCCCCCCAGCCTCACACCTGGCCTCCTTCCATGTTCTTAATCCATTTCAGGGCCTGGGCCTGAGGGTCGATCATCAGTGCCCACCTGGAGGGGGAGTACGGGTCAGAGGCGAGGCCCTCTCTCCCACGCCACCCCCACGCCCAGCAGCACCTTACCTGTTGCCTCGGGTGACGATGATGCCGTTCTCCGTGGAGAAGGCATCTGAGGGCAACCCTTGGATGTTCCAGTCCCGGACTTTGGTAGGATTGGACAGGAAGTTATCAATGGCGAAGGAAGGGGAGCAAGGAACCTGAAGCTCCCAGATCTGAGGAGAGAAAGGCCCCAAGCTTTAACTTGAAGAGCTGAGCCCAGCAGCCCCTGCGTCTTCACGCTATCTCTTAATATTTCCAGAGGTCCTGCCCCCAGCCCTGGTTTCGGAGCTCGCTTATCATACCTGAGCCCCATCTCACCTTCCGGATCCAGATTTGGTTGACAATCTCATCCCGATAGTTGGTCAGGAAAGGTCCCATGTAGGACAGGAAGGCAGCTGCCAGGAGACAGTCCCCGACCAGGTAGCCCAGGTCCTCCTCCAGGCCCTGGCGGACAGGAGGGAGGGTAAGCCTGCCTGGGCCCCGGCACTCTGGGAGACTCTTGGAATGCTTTTGAAGGCACCCTCCTCTGGACACTGTCTAGTTCAAAGAGGTTCTTTCCTTCCCCTAAACCTTTGCGTCCTGACAACTCTAGCCTGGTTCTAATTACTTTCGAGTTCTCTATCTCTAATGGCAATGTTTACATTCTGGTGATAAGGCCCAACCCTTTTGCGAAGCCAGGAGCTCACTGAGAGCAGAAACACGATGTGCCATGTCTGTTTTCTATCTGGTCAGTGGGCTACATCAAGAGTCCTTGTGTGTGCTTCACAGCCCTATCCAAACACGGAAGCAGATCCCTAATGGTGCTAAAAGCCTTTCCTTCCATTGCTCTCACCAAAGGTGTGCAGGGGGAGGGGAAGAGCTCCCACATCTCAGTTCTTAGAGTTCCCTATACCCAGGTGTCCCAGTTTTCCCTGACTGCCCCTTAAGCTAAAAGGGATGGGTCTCTTGGAAGTGGTGAGCAGAGGGAAAGGACACCAGGTGGTATAGTCGATCTCACCTGGACTGTCTCCTCCCATCTGGCCTTCTCGCCTGCCAACCCCGACACCAGCATTCCGGCTCGCTCCAGCTTCAGCTCCATCTCTTCAGACTTCTTGCGAAGCTCCTCCTTCTGTGCCAGCTTCTCGTCGTACTGTTTCTTCAACATCTCCAGTTTCTCAGCTACCTGGGAGAGATTGGAGTTTAGCGCATCAAACACAGGGCTTGCAGCCAGATTGTTCTCGTTCACATCATGACTCTGCCATTTTGTAGCTTTGTTAATCTCTTTGAGCCTCAAAGAGATTTGTTTCCTCATGTTGTAAAAGAATACCTACTCTATAGGGTTGTCGTGAAGAGTAAATTGAGATAAAATACATGTGATGAGGTGAATTTTCTTCCCCTTCCTTCCACCACCCTTTCCTAGAAACCAGAAACTACGTGGTAGTTTCTGGGTAGCTGGGTAGGGGGCAGAGACCTCTTAAAGCATAATAAAACCACACATGAGGCAGGTGGCTCACGCCTGTAATCCCAGCACTTTGGGAGGCCGAGGCGGACGGATCACCTGAAGTTGGGAGTTCGAGACTAGCCTGATCAACATGGAGAAACCCCGTCTCTACTAAAAATACAAAATTAGCTGGGTGTGGTGGCTCATGCCTGTAGTCCCAGCTACTCGGGAGACTGAGGCACGAGAATCGCTTGAACCCGGGAGGCAGAGGTTGGGGTGAGCCGAGATCGTGCCATTGCACTCCAGCCTGGGCAACAAGAGTGAAACTCTGTCTCAAAACCAACCAACAAACAACCACACAAGATAGATTGGCAAGTGAAGTCCAGACAGCACATAAATGACTGCCACTCCATGCTAGAGGCCATACCTAAGGTGGAACCTTGAAAAGGGAAGAAAAAGCGAGAAATGAACCCAAACGCTGTTAGAGGGAGACTCCATTCGAGACAAAGGGCTGGCTGGGTGTGGTGGCTCATGCCTGTAATCCCAATACTTTGGCAAGCCAAGGCAGAAGGATCACTTGGGGCCAGGAGCTTGAGACCAGCCTAGGCGACATGGTGAGACCCCACCTCTATTCAAAAATAGAAAATAAGAACAAAAATAAAAAGACAAAGGACCAAGTCCAAGGTCCCACACTAGAGATGGAGGCCTGGGCAGAGCTTTGTATACTAAAGAAACTCCTCTCAAGTCATTGCCACCTGTGGACTCTGTTGAGGTTGGAATGAATATATATATATATTCACTGAAATCTGAAAGAGAGAACTGATAGAGCCTTGTCCCAAGATCTGTATATGTGTATGATCCTGTTTGTATATCTGACCGGCCAACAGCAGTTGTGCCTGGATACAGACTGTATCACTGTCCTCTTCATCATGAGGAATATGGGGTGGGGGGTTACACATAGCATTTACATGATACATGTTCCCTTTCCTGCTGCCACCTCACTGGGAAAGGCAGCCCACAATCGTGGAAATAGTTCCACTACTAGAAAGTAGAAGTAGCTCTGCTTTAACTGAGTGATTCTGGTAAGTTTCAACCTTTCGGAGCCTCGCCAGGGTTGCTGTGGGTAAGGGTGATGTGGGCTGTGGCATGGTGTGAGGCACACAGCAAGCAAGCCTTACCTGGCCCAAGCACTTGGAAATGGGAGAGATCACTCTCCAAAAAATATTCTTTAAAACAACGTGGAGGGCCAGGTGCGATGGCTCACGCCTGT